GCCGCGTCAACACAAAACATATGAGACTTTAATGGGAAGGAACTTTAATAAAACTAGGAAACAATACAGGAAAGGCAAAGAATCTAGTTTCTAAATCAAGCACCCAAAAGTTACCCGTCCCCTCGTGGGTAAAAGTCCACCCAAGCAGGATTGGCCCAGAGCAAGGCCCCAAAGCTGCCCCACGTCCAAAGCACCTTCCAGTGGGGACCCACAGAAAAGGGTCAGAAACAACCAGACAAGTACGGAAGGAAAAGAGCAAAATCAAGGTAAAAGCTGCCATTGTCCCCTCCCCATGAGTCTCTCCCCCACATCTGTGTGACCCCGTCCATGACCAAAAGGCAAGTGCCGTTTCTTCACGTGTCTCTCGACTCCACGTGCCTCCTCCAGGTCTCCTTCTGGCTCCATCCTGCTCCTTCCTTCTCAGTCTCCTCTGCAGCTTCTTCTCTCCCTGCTCAGCTCCACCCACCCTTGGATGGGGCAGGAAACTTGGAAGCTCCCCCTTTCCTGGGGCCCAGCCTGTTACATCTTCATGAGTTGGGTCCCGGCCTGTAGTCTGGATGCCATGTGCTGTCTCCAGTGGCGGGACAACGCAATGTTGTAAGCATTTGTATTTAGGACTTTAAAACTCTGGACACGCTTCAGGTGAGGTAAGCGGGCATTTTTGGCCTTAATAACTGTTTTTTCCTGGATTGTTAGATAAATTTTGGAATTGTGCACATGAGGGTGAAGAACTCAAGACGGTGACCAGTAAGGTATTTGGGCACCATCCTTGGCCAATTTCAGTGCCCCCTGCTGCCCTGTATCTGTAACACCTACAAAACTGTATCTTCTCCATAGTACATCATTTTGGCAGTTGCTCAGGAAAATATTGGAGTTAGCCTTCATTATTCTTTCTCACTTTCCATATCCAGTCAGCCAGCAAACCCTGCTCTTCCAAACTATATTCAGTATGGAAACACTCTCCATTGCTTTACCCCTACCAGTGATTGCTTTCAATGAGTGCTGCATAGCTGCTTTGCCTTTGCAAAATCTGTCTTCAACTTGGTGTAGAACTTGGCTGGTTCTTTAATATGAAGTCAGCTGTCATTTCTCTGCTATAATGCAAGCATGCACAGGGCAGCGTCACTGTTAATTCGGACAGATGGAAAGGAGAGCCCTGGAGCCCTCGATAGACTTTGCAGGCCTTTAATGCGCTCAGGTACACAGGCACACCAGGCAGGGAGGCTAGCATGAAAGGAGACAAGCACGGGCCAGGCAGGGGGCCTGGGAGGCAGGTAACTGAGTTTCCCCAGTTCCCCAGCTCTTTCTCTGGCCCTCTCTGATGTTCTTATTTTGAGCTTTCTCATGGTTTCCCCTCAGAGTGGTCCTCCTGCCAGGCTGCTGCCATTACTTTATCCCCTTCCTGTAGACACAGACATTTACACATGCATTTACACATGTGCACGTGCTCTTTCGGTCCAGGTGTCCATAATTACAGTTGTGTGGGTCCCATCCTCACGCTCCCAATCACTTTTTGCATAGGCTGCAGTTGGTGGCTGTAGTGGCTAGCCATGTGAAGTGAAAACTAGCCTGAACGCTTCCATTTACCCTACATCTGCTCAAAACTCTCCAATAGTTTTTCATTTTGTAATAAAATCCGAAGTTCCTTATATGAGTACATCATTGGTTCTCAAACTTGGGCATCCTCTGGAGGGCAAGATTACTGGGCCCATGTTGAGTTTTATGATTCGGTAGGTCTGAGGTGGGGCTGGATACTTTGTGCCTTTCTAATCAGTTTTAACCAGTTTCCATATGATATGGATGCACAGGGAACCCCATTTGGAGAATCACACCTCTCCATGTAAAAGGAACAGCGAGTAGCAAACTCTGAGCTAGTAGGTGGAGTCAGCAATTTCTTGACTTGAAGGAAGGTAGAGCATTCTAGACCGCACTCCCCATTGGGGGCTGATGGGAAACCAGGGTGGAGCTGATTTAAGGTAGTTAAGGCTACTGGGGCTTTGGCAGTTGAGCTGCTGGTCTTCTGACAGTTGAACCACAGGTGAGGGGGTCTATCTGTGGAGAAACTTCCAGCTTGCCACATACAGCTTCAGTTTGGACCTTAGTCTCTGTGAAACTGCAAAGCTGGGGAGGTAATATGTCATGGGTTTTGGGTCCTCACCTGTGTGCTTACAATGGCAATTGCAGGATACGACTCAGGCTTAGGTACAACAACAGGGTTTACTTACAAAGGGAGAGTAAAAGAAATTTGGAAAAAGGAGGGCCTCCCTGGAGGCACAAGGGGTTAAGATGCAAACTATGAAACTATCCACAGCCACTGCAGCACGAGTTTGATCCCCGGCCAGGGAGCTACCCATATGGTGCAGCAGACCTCTCCTGACTCACCCGCTGCTCCCCTCAGTAGTGTATTTCAGTCAATCCGCCCCTTCTGCTCCCCACTCTGTCTCTGGTGAATCCTCTCACCCCCCACTCCTCTGGCCTGCACCCCAGTTCTTATATGCATAAATAAATCTTTAAAAAATATTTGGAGAAAGAGTTAGAGGCAGCAGCAATAGTCAGGCAGCAATTTGAAGCAGAGATCAGACACAAGTCTTAAAGATCAAAGCTCTGCAAAGGTCTTTGAGAAAGTCTACAGTGGTCTATAATAGGTGGCACCACAGCAGTCAGTAACAGGAATGCAAAGCCAGGCTGGGCAGCACTGGATGCTGGACTGGTCAGTGCCAGAGGCAAGAGTACCAAATGGGTGGTGCCAGACATATCAGAGACAGGGACCAATGTTTCAGCTCTTAGAGAGGCTGGGCATAAGCCAATAGCAAACAGTTCTTTAGAGTCACCAAACACATGGCCAATGGTGTCATTCAGTAGGCTCTGTTGGAGGCAGAGTAAGAGGTCATATCTTCAAAGGAATGCTGCTAGGGACAGCGGCCAGTGTTATAGCTCTAGGAAGGTCTTTCCAAGAGAGGCCAGATGAATCAGAATGACTGTTGAAGCTGGCAGGAGCCTGACTTATACACCCCATCAGGGTGCACACCCTTCCAACCTGATTGGTCCATATTGATTAGCACCCATGGGAACTCCATTAGATTGGTCTGTTTACAATCCCAGCTTTTTGGTGCTGTTCATTTTCAGTCCCATGCTGGTTCCATAATTGCCTGAAACTGCACCAGTGTCGAATCTGAGTAGACTGAGGTTGGGCTTCAAAACTAAACAGGAGGAGTAGTGAAGGCAATGAGCTTGAGATAAGAACATTGATGTTCAGATGTGATATTGGGGTTCAGAGAGTGGGGTCCTTGAATTACCTCCTTGATAATTTTCCACAGATTCCCTTTCAGTGGCACGTGGTGAGTTTACTAAGGAAAAGACATTTGCATAGACTCAAGCAAAATACATGTTTATTAGAAAAAAGGACAAACAAGCCTTGCATAGACACAGGTAGGCAGAGAGCTGCTGCTGCGGTTTTTGAAAGGAACAAATTTGTTAAGAGTCACCCGCATAGACACAGGTGGGCAGTCTTAGGAAAAGAACTGTATTTTGCCAGGGCAGGCAGTTTTTGTATAGTGTTCTTTTGGGGAGCTCATTCTGTTAGGGGGAAAATGATGTCCTAAAGCTAATGCCATACAGGCTTTGTGAACTCCACCCCCACCCCAGGCCAAAGCCAAAGACACTGGGAACTCCAAATCCCATCACCACCAAAGGGAAGGTGGCTGGGACCTGAGGGTGGGGTTAAGCAGCCAGGTTGGTATAAAGCCAGACATGTGGGCTTTGGAGGGGTTCCCCCATTTTGGCTCTCTGCCAGCTCGCAGTGTCCGGCCAGCTCTGAGAGTGCCTTTGGGTTTCCAGGTCGGAGGATCAGGTAGGACGCATTACAGACTTTATTTCCCTATTTTCTCCCTGAGTTGTACATTTTCCTTATTTCCTTTTCCCTTGTAAATAAACCTTTTATTAACCTTTTGTGTGTGCCTGTAGTGGAGTATTCATAAGTCCCTTTTAAGCGCGCGGGTGAGGACCCACAGCCAGGCAACCAGTTCAATATCAGGTCTGCCCTATAACAATTCCTTTGTGGACTGACCACCTCATTTCTATAGCTGTCTGCACCTAAAGATTTCCCATATCAGATTGCACCTTAAAATTTCCTATACACTATATAAGGACTTGTTAATCATTTCTACCCCAGCCTCTAGTTTCTGCCCCTGTGAAGCCTCCATCAAGCAGAAGGGGCTGTTCAACTTGACCTGTACTGAGGTTGGTGTCAAAACCTTATACCAGGAGCAGGGGGTGGGGGTGGGGGCTCTAATCTCAGATGTTTGATGGGTGCTGGTAGAGTTCCCATGAAGTTGGTCCATTTTCAATCTCATACCAGTTTCATGGGCTCCCCTAACATCTGCTCAGTGGGTGCCATTTGCATAATCCTGTCAAGACTCCAGAGGATCCTCATTGACGCTCCAGAATCTTACCAAAACTTTTTTCTGCAATCCCTTCTCTTAGGCCGACTAACGGGCACCTCTTACAGTGTGCCAGCCTTTCTATTTCTCCGTCAGGTATTTCGGGGCACAGGCCGAATCTGGCGCCCCACACCCGCTGTCTGCGCGGGACGCTGGCGCCAGCTCTGGGTCTGGGCCTCCCCTGCGGCCCGGCCCCGGCGGGCGCGCGGCCTGTCCCACTTCCCCGAGCGCAGCGAGCCGCCCGGACCTGCTAGAATTGATCCCCCGGAACGCCGCGGCCTGGCCCTTGTCCAGTGCTGTGTCCCGGCGGCCGAAACGGCGAGCCCCCCACCATCGCTGGCGCTCCCCGACACCTGCCGACGGACCGGCCGCGCGGGCGCGCTCCGCGGGGGGCCACCGGCCTCGGCCCTCCCGTGCCCGTCCCCCGGGCCGGAGACGGGACTTCTCGGAGTCGCCACAGGGACGTCGTGCCTGCGCCGGAAGTCCCCGCGAGCAGGGGCCCCTTCCGGTCTGCGCCGGAATTCCCTGCGAGCAGTGGCTCCCTTCCGGCCTGCGCCGGAAGTCCTCCGAGATCAGCGGCCCCCTCCGGCCTGCGCCGAGGTCCCGCGGGCTGCGGGTCCCGTCCATCGCTGCGGGGCCCACGATGGGCAAGAGAGACCGGGCGGAGCGCGGTGAGCCCCTGGCGCGCCGGCGTTGCCCCGTCGTGGGCCTGCGCCTCCCTCCCGTCGGCTCGGCGGCGCCGCAGCCCCTCGCCCCGCGCCCCGGCTGACCGGCCCGCCCCGCGGGGGCTCTGCCGCGGGGGCTCTGCCGCGGGCGGGGGCGCTCGCGGGGGCGCGCCGCTGCCGAGACGCGCCCCGTTGGATGCCCCCGCCGAGTCGCCTGGCGGGGCGCAGGGAACCCCAAATTCCTGACGTGCCGTCCCCCGCGCCCGCGTTTCAGATAAGAAGAAGTCCAAGAGGCGGCACTACGAGGATGAGGACGACGAGGAGGACGACGCCCCGGGGAGCGAGCCCCAGGAGGCCGTGCCCTCGGCGGCCGGCAAGCAGGTGGACGAGGCAGGGACCAAGGTGGACGAGTACGGGGCCAAGGACTACCGGCTGCAGATGCCGCTGAAGGACGACCACGCCTCCAGGCCCCTCTGGGTGGTGAGCACGCCCGTCGCCGGGCGCGGAGCGGGCACTGGGCGCGGAGCGCGCCCCAGACGCAGCAGACGCTCGCGAGGGGCTCTGGCCGGCAGGTGCAGATGCGCCGGCGCTCCTGGCCTGCCTCGTCTCAAGCCCCACATTTTTACTCCCATTCCTCTCCAGTTCTAGTGCACGCTTGGAAACACTTTACTTGAGAAATAGCATTTATCATGTAACAGTTTAATTCTCCACTTAAAAAAAAAAAAAGACAAGCCAGGCAGGTCTTTTGCTCAGCTCAAAGTAATCATTATGTCACATGCTTTAGAAATCTAGCCACAGGTAACTGGGGGAGAGACAGTACGCTGGTGAAGTATGGTGGAAAGCATCAACTTACTTTGGAAACCTGTTCTCTGTTCTCATTATTCCTGTATCTGATTAAAATAACAGCCCAGAGTTTGTTGAAGGAGTGCTTACACCAATATCTCTGGTATTGGTAGCTTAAAGATCACTTTTGGGGCAACTTGTCCTTTTTTTTTTTGTTTTAATTTTTTTGTAGAAAATGTAGAGTGTAGGCCAGAGGTGTGGGGTGAGAGGGTTCACCAAAGACAAGAGTGGGGAGCAAGATAGGCAGATTGCTGACATACAGTGCCAAGGGGGAGCAGCATGCCAAACAGGAGAGGTCTGCTGTGCCATATGTGGGTTAGCTCCCTGGCGGGGCATTGAACTCAGGCTATAGTGTTGATAGTACTGAGACTTAAAATCTAGACCACCAGAGAGCCCCAGTTTCCCTTTCTTAGTAATAATATGGCACACAGCCCAATCATTTGTGCAACTCAGTAGTTTCCTTGTCTGTTGTGTTTACTTGATGTTTTGCAGGCTCCTGATGGCCACATTTTCTTAGAAGCCTTCTCTCCAGTTTACAAATATGCTCAAGACTTCCTCGTGGCTATTGCTGAGCCAGTGTGCCGACCAACCCATGTGCATGAGTACAAACTAACTGCCTACTCCCTGTACGCAGCTGTGAGCGTTGGGCTGCAAACTAGTGACATCACTGACTACCTCAGGAAGCTCAGCAAGACAGGAGTCCCTGATGGAATTATGCAGTTTATTAAGGTAAGAGGGATTAAACCCAGCTCTTTTACCCTCCTTGTTAATGCGGAAATAGAGGGGAACAGGTGTTATGTTTTGTTAACCTGTGGCAGTTCTAAAAGTACCATTTGGATCTAGTATAGGGAGCATAACTGATTACTCCAACTGCAGCTCCTCTGTATTCCAGCATTGTGTTCTTGCTGAGCACATACTTCTGTCAGCTTCTCTTAGCCAGTGGTTGCTAACACAGTGGGAGTTCCTAATTCAGGCCTTCTCTGGTCAGGGTTATTTGGGAATGTAGCCCAAAGTGAATGGTGCTGTGGACTGAATTGCGTTCCTTTAAAAATCCGTGTGTTGAAGCCCTTGCCCCTTTTGTGATTGTATTTGGCATAAGGAAGTTATTAAGGCAGTTAAGAGTGGGACCCTGATCATGTGGGATTGGTTTTCTTCTAAGAAGAGATACCAGAAAGCTCATGCATGCACTTTTTCTTAGCACATGCACAAGGAAGAGGTCCTGTGAAGCTACAACAAGAAGGGAAGGTAGCTTAAAAAACTACCTTTATGGGGCCTCCCCCGGTGGCGCAGCGGTTGAGCACTGGGCTGCAAAGCTGCCCACAGCCTCTGCAGCACCGGTTCGATCCCCGGCCGCCGGGCGAGGGTCCCACATGGTGTGCAGACCTTTCCTGCCGCCTGCTGCTCCACTCAGGAGTATATTTCGTCGGTCTGCCTGTTCTGTTCCCCGCTCTGGCTCAGGTGAATTCTCTCACCCTCCGGCGCTTCTGACTATATCCAGTGCTTGTATAAATAAATAAATCTTTAAAAAACAAACAAAAAACTACCCTTTATGGACTTCTAGAAATGTTTCTAGTAAACCACCCAGTTTCTGGTGTGTTTTATGGCTGCTTCAGCAGATTAATGTAGACTAAGAATACTTAAATGAGACCATTAGTCAATGATTTGCATTAGGAAGAATCAAAAAGAACTTCAAGTGTTGAAGTGGATGGGGTTTCCATGTGAAGAGCAGTTGGATATGCTTGTGATTGTTCTGAGGTAGGTGAATGCCATCCCAAAGAGATGGCAATGGCTTTCATTGGCCTTAGGTGATCAAAAGGGAGTTAGATTCATACCCCCAAATTTGGAGTGGCAGAAGATGAGTGCCACAGGCATCTAATACAGTAATGCATCCAGTCTCAGAGAAGCTGGTAAGAGCTCTGGGGAGAGTTTTCTCGTGATATGGAAGGTGGCCTGTAAAGAACAACCTGGACCTCACTGGAATGACCCTGCATCATACCTGCAGCTCCTTCTTGTCTGGGAGCTGCCTGCAGGGATGAAGGCAGTTGCATAGCACAGTGATGGATCTGAAGGGCAGCACCGGGAGCAGACAACAACCAAGAGTTGAGTAGCACATTTTTGTGGCCACCATACAACCTGTGTTGCCTTCTACTCTCAAGATTCTTGGGAACCTGGCAGGATTTAAACTGTACTTCTGGCAATGGAGCTGAGCTCAGAGCCTTGCTTATGTGACTTAAAAGTGGGGCTTTGTCAACAATCCTCATGTGTTACATCATATCCTCAACATTCAGGTTTTGCAAATCAAGAAGCTTATATCAAAGGGGAGTAAGGAACATTGGTGAGGATGCTAGGAAGCTGTGCATTTTAATATGCAGCAAACAGTTACTGAAAACTCTGCCATCTTTGTGCTGGGATCTGTAGTAATGCTGATGTGGCAGGATGAACCTCTGGATTAGGAAGGGGCCTATGGGAATGGCAGAGAAAGGGAAAGGAAAAATAACAAAATTTTTAAAAGCAGTATTTTAGAAATTAAGTGGTAATAAAACATCAGAATTAACCAGGCAGGAGGTAGGTTTTGCCCTCAAAGGATAGAAGCTAATAGCGACAACTCAATTTAGGCAGCTCTAACCCTTTTAGGATTGCACACTGGGTTTTCCTAAAGTAAAATGAACACCTAACTGGGTGGGTGAGTAGTAGGTGTCCCTGCTAACAGGTGTGTCCCGAGTGAGCTGTGTATTGCTGATTTTGCCTTTTTGTTGTCACTTCTTGCAGTTGTGTACTGTCAGCTATGGAAAAGTCAAGCTGGTCTTGAAGCATAACAGGTAAGGGATTCTGTGACAGGTCCATCCAAGGCACTTTGCCTCCTCTGCATACCAGGTTGGCAAGGATTATGCTCTGCAACACAATCTCCTGAGGGGATGAAAGAAGAAGTGAAGGGAGATAACTAAAACTGGAAATTCCTTCACTGGCCAATGTTCCGCTGGTGGTGGAGCTGGGGTTCAGTGCCCTGATTATGTGACTTAAAAGTGGGACTTTGCCCATAATCCTCTTGTGTTATGTCACGGCTAGTAGCTCAATACTCAGATTTTGCAAAGGGTTGTGAAGAGAGAATGAAGATAGGCATGAAGCCACAATTTCCAGACCTCTAATTGAATGAGTGATGGAATGTTTTGGAAATGATGTACTGCTCTATATGCACCTCCTTCCTCCCCTGCTTGTAGGTACTTCGTTGAAAGCTCCCATCCTGATGTCATCCAGCACCTTCTCCAGGATCCTGTGATCCGGGAGTGCCGCCTGAGGAACTCTGAAGGGGAGGCAACTGAGCTTATCACAGAGACCTTCACGAGCAAATCTGCTGTATGTGGGCTCCTGGTCATTCTGGGGGGTAGGAGAATTTAGACTTTCAGTTCTCTCAGATACTGTTAGTCCAGCATTTGCAACCTAGTGGCCCTGTACCTATCTTACAACACTAAATTCCCCCTTTTACTTTGGCGACTGCTTGGTAATAGTAGGGTAACATGTTGCCTGTAGGCCCAGACCCTGCCTTTCTCTTATAGATCGCTAAGACTGCTGAAGGCAGTGGTGGCCCCTCCACTTCCAGGGTACCAGACGCACAGGGTAAATCTGACATCCCCACTGACCTTTTTGACTTTTATGAGCAAATGGACAAGGATGAGGAAGAAGAGGAAGAGACACAGACAGTATCTTTTGAAGTCAAGCAGGTTAGTGAATGTACCCCCTCCTGGTTTCTTCTCTGAATTAGTATCAAAACTATTCCAGCCTTTCATCAGTTAACTATCATCTGTGTGAGAAGATGGAATCCTTTTTCTGGTTGGGGGATGGGGAGGTGGGAACATCAGTTCTCTTAATAGAGTTAATCTGAGTGTCCTATTCCCCAGATTCATAAATCCCTGGGAAAACAGGAAATGGGACCTGAAGGGCATTTTTGGTGGCTGACTGAATTTAATTTTGTGTCTGCCTCTTGGGTTACTTTTCTATCCTTTAACCTAGCTATTAACAAGCAAGTTCTGAAATTGCAAACATCTAGATAAATGACTATTTTGGGGGGGGCGGGCATTAGGCCCTTTAGAATATATGCTGGTTTTTTTGAGCACAATATGGAGATAATGAGATTCTGAAATCCTCATGCTCACTTCTCAGGAAATGATTGAGGAACTCCAGAAACGTTGCATCCACCTGGAGTACCCTCTTTTGGCAGAGTATGACTTCCGGAATGATTCTGTTAATCCTGATATCAACATTGACCTGAAACCCACAGCTGTGCTTAGACCTTATCAGGAGAAGAGCTTGCGAAAGATGTTTGGGAATGGGCGTGCACGCTCTGGAGTCATTGTTCTTCCTTGTGGTAAGTGCCACTTGATGGAGATAGCCAGGCTCTTCTGTCTGGGTCTGCCAGCTGCTTGCCACTTGTCCTGTGCACCCTTCTCTAACTCACACCTTGCTGAGGGACTGCCAGTCAGATGACTCCTGATTCATAATTTGACAAATATTTGTGTGCTTGCTGTTGGCAGGGCCCTGGCATAGGCACTGGGGATCTGCGGTGAACTGAGCAACCTCGTGGGCATGTTTTGGTGGGGTAGGGAGAGACAGTAAACAAATCAATAAAATTGGGCAGTGAAGAAAAATAATAGGATGGGAAGTTAGGCAGTGATGTAGGAAGGGGTCTGTTTTATATGCTAAGGTTAGGTTCTTGTTCTTTGCAGTCTTGTGAGTTAGGTATTTTGGGGGGCTCCCCAGTGCAGAAACAGCTTGTTTCTGGAAGGCTTATTATAGAGAGCATGTCCAAGAATGCCCCATTGATACCTGTTTGATAGATTTGTCTCTAAATCCTGTCAGGTTTTGGTCTAGGACAGACCAGAGGTCACAGCAAACTCACCGAGACCCTGCTCCATACTTCAGGAGCCAGTCTCCAGGGGAATGGCCTGTAACCTCAGGTTCTTGTTATTATATTGAGGCACATCTCTGGTTGAGGAAGAGTTGCTCTTGAAAGGAATAACTTGATTTTTAATCTTGATCTTTAGATAGTGGATGGTAGTAAACAGATGCTCTGGGAGTTTCACTTCTGTCTTTGCCAGGGGTGTACATGCACATGTGCGCCCCAGTTCTCAGGCTGCTTTGTGGGTGTGATAATAACAGGCGTCTTGCACCGAGCCCCTCTCTACAGGCTGTGCCACCAGTCCTCTGCCCCAGCAACTCCACTTTCCCCTGGCCTTCGGCAAATTACGTGTGGGCTTTGGTTTTCCCATCTTTAAAATCGTGCTGAAAGGAGTGTCTCTGGTCTCTGGTTTGTTTTGCGGTCTCAGCATGGATAGGAGAGGCTGGCATGTAAAGTGGGCGTGTCTCCTTTTTATAAGTAAAAGAACCTCAGAGTAGCGAGTGCCTCAAACGTCATTTGGGAGAATTAGTAAAATTAATCTGCCTAGACTCGTGTGCTAATGAGTCATTTCTGTCAATCCTTGTCCTTTATTTCAACCTGGCCTTGGATAATATCTCCCTTTGGTTTCTTGTAGGTGCTGGGAAGTCCCTGGTTGGTGTGACGGCGGCATGCACAGTCAGAAAACGCTGTCTGGTACTGGGCAACTCAGCGGTGTCTGTGGAGCAGTGGAAAGCCCAGTTCAAGATGTGGTCTACCATAGATGACAGCCAGATCTGCCGCTTTACCTCTGACGCCAAGGACAAGCCCATTGGCTGCTCCATTGCCATTAGCACCTACTCCATGTTGGGCCATACCACCAGAAGGTCCTGGGAGGCTGAGCGAGTCATGGAGTGGCTCAAAACTCAGGAATGGGGCCTCATGATTCTAGATGAAGTTCACACCATCCCAGGTAAACAGACTGAGAACTGAGCTGCTCACTCATTGTACACACAGAATTGTCTTCCAGCTGTTGTGCTGAGGGAGGAATTACTGTGTGGTCTATCCATCTTGCTAGAAAGGCATGTTGGGTGGAGCTTTTAGATCATTAGTACCTGTGGGGTGAGGGTGACTGGTAGAAGGATGTCCATATTCACAGCTTCCTTAACCACTGACTGATAGTCATTTAGGAAATGATATTTAATTCTTTTCTCCAGCTTGCTTCTTATTACAGGTCAAACTAACCCTTAGTCCAATTTTTGATGACCCTGTGAAAACTGGGCTAGGAGCACTGAAGTCTTTGAAATACAAATCATTTCTACCTCTTGTTCTTTTCATCCTTCTGTATGGGTCTAAAGTGATAGTTAAGCATTGTCATCTAGGCATCCTTATCTAGAGCCAGGCTTCTGTGGGCCAGAAACTTGGGGCTTAGTCGATATGGTGTGAAGCGAGAGTGAAGTTCCAAGACTGTATGTGTTACTTGAGCATTTGAAATGTAATAATGTGATTATTTGCCCAGCCAAGATGTTCCGGCGAGTGCTCACCATTGTGCAGGCCCACTGCAAGCTGGGTTTGACTGCAACCCTCGTCCGGGAAGATGACAAAATTGTGGATTTAAATTTTCTGATTGGGCCCAAGCTCTATGAGGCCAACTGGATGGAACTACAAAACAACGGCTACATCGCCAAAGTCCAGTGTGCTGAGGTAACTGTCCCTTCCCGGCACAGTCTCTAAGGGTTAAGGGGAAATGGACCAGGTCACTTCCTCTGGCACAGGTACACAGCTCAGGGCCAGAGCAGACTGCTGCCCCTTCACGCAGTTCCCAGGGGCCTCCCCACCTCAAAGACTTGTGAGCCAGAGTTGCTTGTCCAGTGGCACCAGTCAGTGCAAGTCAGTATGCTAATCCAGGCTGGCCCAACTGCAAAGTGCATTTGTCTCCTTATCCTCTTCTCCAGGAGTGAGTGTCTCAGGGTGTTCTTGCGCACGCTTTCTGCTGTGAGGTTCTTGGTTGGTCTTGTGTGGGTGGCCGTTCAAGCTATCTCTAGTGTCAAAGCCTGTTGGTTTTGATGCCCCTCAGTGATTGCTTGTGGGTGTCGAGAATAGGTTATGTCTAAGAACACATTTTCCCAATTTTGCTCTGTAATGATTGCCTGTACAGGTATATGTTAAAAATATATGTTCAAAGGTAAGTCTTCTCCGAAGGAACAATTAAAACCATTTCTAGAGGCTGAAGTGGGTTGGCCTCTGTTTTGTAAGGATGGAAAGGAGCTTGTTGGTGAAATATAAACTTTCTTTGTTGAAAAAATTCCTTAGCCTTCAGTTACAGCTTTGTAAGCAGTGCCCATCTTATGAAAGAGTCTTTCAGAGTCATTGAGCCTCCTTGTTCCATCTAGAGCACCTTCCCTCCCACCCCTCCAACCACTGTCTTAGAACTTTGTTGGTCATTCTATTGCCTTTTTGTTATTTTGCCTCCTGTGTGTATTTCCTGACCTAACATTGTTTTGCTTTAGCTGTTTTTTTTGAATCTTTACATATATGTAAATAGAATCAGGTTTTATATGTTCTTGTATGACTTCTGTCTTTTGTGCAATATTTTTATTTTTTGCATAATATATGTTGTTTTTTTACCAATGCATGTAGCTGTAGTCCATTCCTTTGATTTGCTCTGCAGTGTCCCATTGTACAAATACACCACAGTTTAAATTACAATGGAATATTATACAACAGTTGAAAAAACCATTTCTAATGGTAGACATTTGGGTTGCAGTGTTGTTCTGTTAACACCTTTATCAAGATTTGGTTTAAATTTCATAATATTTCCCTGTTGTAAGTGAATTCTCTGCTTTCAGTCAATAGAAACAGTTGTGCAGCTGCTCTGCAATCAAATTTTAGAACATTCCCACCCCTTTTCCTTATGCTTATTTACAATGAATCAAATTTCTGACTCCCAGCCTTTGGCAGTCACTGACTCTGTCCTTAAACTTAGATCTTTTTTGCTTTTACTATCATGATAATGTTGCTACAAATATTTTTGTATCTTTTTTTTGTGTTAGAGTTTTTGTAAAGTCATATTGTTCACTGTGAACTGTGACCCCATAGTAGTGTGTCATGAACAGGATAGAGAATCTGCCAGCATGCAAAATATGTATTAAGGGAATAGTGTTTCAGAAAAACTGGTAAGTGTGACGTGGTATTCCTTTTGTCTTAATTGGTATCTTTTTGTTTACTAATGTTAAGTATTTTTTCCTATATTTGGGCCATTTATGTTTCATATCTATGAGATACAAGATTTTAAATATTGTGAAAAAATTGCTTTTGCTATAAAGAATTAAAAACTATAGTCATATGGTTTATAGGAAACCAGAAAATATAGCAACAGCAAAACCTGTGGATTTGAGCTCAGAATAGGTTATGTGTAGGGTCAGGAACGGCTACGGAGCAGGTTTTCTGACCCAGCAGACCGGGTAAAGGAGGATTCAGAGTTCTCAGTGGCTTTTGCAGGCTTTTATTTAGATTTATCAGGCACATGGCAGGCAGCAAGTCTTCACTCTATCTGGGCTCTCCAGCGTTCTCGGCTTCTCTCTCGGCTTCTGTTCATTCTCAGCTTCTACTGGCGTCCCTGTGACACCGCCCTTAAAAGCCCAGTCTTAGCCCAGGTGAATCCCATCTACCTATGCCCACACCCTATTCCAGGTGCCCGCCATCAGGCATGCATTCAGGACTGCAAGGATCCATCATCTATCCTGATGGCGGGAGGGCAGAAAAGCCTGACTTTCCTTACCTTACTTTATGATATTAGGTATCACTAATAACTTAAGCTAATTCCACATTGAAGAAATGGTCTGGGATGATCACACAGAAGTTGCACTGGTCACAATCAAAACCCAGAGCCTGTCAGAATAGATTTTTATGGCCTGAGTCCTTTCTGGATCCTTTTTGTTTGTCCACAGCATTGAGACTTTTACAACTCATGGCACTTTAATATATTTACCCAAACATTCTTCAACTTCTCAGCAACCCTAGCCCAGAGAAAGCCCTATGGAGTGTTACTGTCACTCTTTTTTGTATGCTCAGATGGTCTCAGATGTGACCAGTGGGATCACCTCAAGCTGGCTTCTCTGTTCATTTGGCATTTCCCCATAATTTCTTGAGTACTTCCTTGTTTTCTGGCACAGCAAGATATTTCTGGCTCACCTGGTACTTTTTCTGGCCCTGGAATTAGCCATTGCTCCACAGAGCCCTTTTAATTGAGAATGGAATTTAAAAACCAACACCTGGGTATTAGGTGTGTTCATCACAACTAAGATGGCATTGCAAGACTGACTCAACAGGCACCTGGGCAGTGTGTGCACGCGCATGTGCATGGAAGTTCTCTGCAGCAGTGCTGTGTATGGACTTAGGTGTGCAGATGTGATCTACATGCATGGGATTACTTATGTGACTGGTTGAGAATCTGATTTTCTTCACTTGGAACTTATGTGAAAGTAATTCCCTGAACATTAGTGGATTAAATCTTTGCTAAGTGAATAATATGTAAGAGTGTCTGAGTTCAACATTAGGGTTGTGGTGTTTGTGTCTACAGTTTTATTGAGATATAGTTCACATGCATTTGTTTGGATTTGTTTAAGGCTAATTCTGCTAAATAATGGTCTTCAGAAGTTTCTAATAGTGTGATGTTTAAACTTGCAGGCTGACTCCTGACTTTTATTGATCACAGGTTTGGTGTCCTATGTCTCCTGAGTTTTACCGGGAGTATGTAGCAATCAAAACTAAGAAGCGAATCTTGCTGTACACCATGAACCCCAACAAATTTAGAGCTTGCCAGTTCCTGATCAAGTTTCATGAAAGAAGGAATGACAAGATTATTGTCTTTGCTGATAATGTGTTTGCCCTGAAGGAATACGCCGTTCGGCTGAACAAGTAAGTAATTGACAAGTTGCACCTGTTTTCCAGCTGATTTATTTATCCCACGTGAGTGCAAAGGGTGCCTCTTTGTTTCTCAAACCTCTCAGGACCTTCTTAGGATCTAAAGGCCTGATTTTGTGTCCTCACTTGCAGGAACCAGGCAAAACAGGAATAGGTGGTTGGATTCAGAAGTTAGCGCATGCAGAAAAGGGAGCCTGGTCATTCAAATCCTGGGGAGCAGGGGCTGGAGTTGTGCTGTTCTGATGGGGAGCTGTAGAGGCAGGAATGGACACAGGCAGGTTTTCTATGATCCAGCAGGCCAGGTAAAGGAGGAGTCCTGGAACCCTCAGTGGCTTTGCAGGCTTTTGTTGGGATTTACCAGGCATATGGCAGGCAGGGGTGCTGGGGGGCCGGGAGGCTGGCAGTCCTCCCAGTCCCCAGCAAATCCTCACTCTATCTGGGCTCTCTGGTGTTCTCTCTGCGTCTCCTCTTCTTCTCTCAGCTTCTGTTCGTTCCTGGCTTCTTCTCGCGTCCCCATGACGCCGCCCCTAAAAGCCCAGTCTTAGCCCAGGTGAATCCCATCTACGTATGCCCACACCCTACTCCAGGTGCTGCCATCAGGCATGCATTCAGGACAGCAGGGTTCCATCATCTATCCTAATAGTGGGAGGACAGATAAGCCTGATACTTTTTACCGTACCCTACAGGAGCCAAGGTGGATATGAGAGGGTGTTTGGAGTTTCAGGCCGAGTCAATGCTCCTGGTGAAGTTGGGGTTAGACTGTATGGGTCAAGGACCAGGAAGGCAGGGGAGACTAGGCCAGCATCTCACATATCGTCCAGCATCTAGAAAGCTTTCAGGAACACCCATCTGAATCCTCAGCAGCTCATTGCTCCACCCAGTACCTGTTGTTTAAGACCTGGCTATTGTAAATTCTCTGCCAAATAAGAGGCCTGTTTCCTTCTAGTGATGCAGGGCTGTAGGTACTGTCAGTTAGCAAATGGTAAGGGCCTTTTTTTTTTTTTAAAGATTTATTTATGCATACAAGAGCTGGGGTACAGGCCAGAGGTCTGAGGGGGGTGAGAGGATTCACCAGAGACAGAGTGGGGAACAGAACAGGCTGATTGACCAAAGTACACTGCTAAGGGGAGCAGCGGGCGAGTCAGGAGAGGTCTGCTGTGCCATGTGGGTTGCGCCCTGGCTGGCCGGGAATCGAACTCGTGCTGCAGTGGCTGTGGCTAGCTTCATAGGTTGCGTCTTAACCCTTTGCACCACCAGGGAGGTCCAGATGGTAAGGGCCTTTTTGGAGATATGCTGTAAGTTCTGTGTGCTTTGGCATGCACAGGGAAGAATCCATGGAATGGATACTGACCAGCTTTCTTTAGCAAGCTGTGATTCTTTAGCAAGCTTTTTTTAGCAAGCTATGATTTAATCCTTACCTCAGCCATGTGAGGTCATTGTATGAGACAGAAAGCCTAACTTTCTCAAATTTCTAGTTGTGCCTTTTTTAATTTAGAAAATATTGCCAAGTTACCATTTTGAAAAATGGCAGTTCCTGTACCTGTCTTCCCACTCACAATTCTTGTTTCATAAAGGCAGACACTTTTGTTATTGTCTTTTTTTTTAAGATTGATTTATTTATGCATATAAGAGCTGGGGTACAGGGCAGAGATGCGGAGGGTGAGAGGATCCACCAGAGACAGAGTGGGGAACAGAACAGGCAGACTGACCGAAATACACTGCTGAGGGGAGCAGCAGGCAAGACAGGAAAGGTCTACTGCGCTATGTGGGTTGTTCCCTAGCCAGCCGGGGATTGAACTCGTGCTGCAGAGGCTGCGGACTGCTTCATAGTGCAGTGCTTAACCCCTTGCACCATCAGGGAGGCCCTAAAGGCAGACACTTTTGATTCTTTTCTCTATTTACTTTCATATTTCTAAGTAGTAACTTATATAATAATTTCTTGGTTAATAATTGGAGAAATTGCCTATTAACTTTCTACTATGGGAATTGAGGATTTAGGTCTCTGGTGTATGCTGCCCCCACCCCCTTCCCCATCTTATTTTGAATCTATATATGTGTATATGTAGATTCAAACCATGTAGTGTACACGTAGTGTATGCTTAGGTTTTTATTTTTTTTTGTAAACAGTTTTTTTTTTGCTGGTGTTAATCATTGCCTTCTCGCTGCTTTTGCTGAGTTTTCAGTACACTTACTTACTCCTCTCCACAGTCGCACCGCTGTATTCTCCCTCTCAGTTGCGTTGGCCCTGTCAGGTAATTTTTCAGTTCTCTTTTTTCTTACTTTCCCTAGTGGGATCCCTACCAGTACCTCATCCTCCTGCTCTGGCCTGCAAGCTCTGAGGATGAGAGCCACCCAGCTGTCATCTTTGTGCTTCCCTCTGACATCATCCCGTGTATTCCCTGTGCCTCTCCCCGGAATTACAGCCCATTCCATATTTCAAGTTTCCGTTTCTTTGTTACTCCTTTCAGTGGAACATATCCTTTTCCTGAGACAACTTAAGTAGGAGGAACATTTTGTAAGACTTTGCTTACAGATGTCTTTAAACTCACCCTTGATACTTTTCACATCGTGTACATCTTTTACCCTTTACAGACTCACCCTTGACTAGTACTTTGCACCTGAGAACATTTGAGGACTCAGTTCGGGACTTCCAGTGCAGCTGTTGGAAGTCTAGTGCCCTCCTGAGTCCTCTTGCTGTGATCCGTTGTGGTGGTGATGTTTTCCTTCTCAGGAAGCTTTTAGGATCCTTTTTTTGAAATTTCAAAGCATTATGTTTAGTGAAATCTTTTTTTCTTTCCTTATATTGGGCACTGAATAGACCGTTTTCATCTAGAAATTCATGTCTTTCATTTTTGAGAACTTTTGTATTTCCTGTTATTCAGCTTTTGTTTTCCTTGTTCTCTTTTGCATCCTTACTGGGCAGGTGTTAGATTTTTTTTTTTTTTTTTAATAGAGGCATGGTTATTTATTTATTTATTTGTTTGTTTGTTTGTTTTGTTTATACATGCACTGGGTACAGTCAGAAGTGCGGGAGGGTGAGAGAATTCACCAGAGCCAGAGCGGGGAGCAGAGCAGGCAGAAGGACCGAAGCACACTGCTGAGGGGAGCAGCGGGCGGCAGGAGAGGTCTGCGCGCCATGTGGGACCCTCCTCTGGTGGCCGGGGAGCAGCTGGGGATCGAACCTGTGCTGCAGAGGCTGCGGGCAGCTTCGCAACCCAGCGCTCAACCGCTGCGCCACCAGGGAGGCCCGGCAGGTGTTAGATTTTCTGAGCAGCATTCTGATTTTCTTTCTTCCCCCCTTTTTTATTCCTTTGTCTTCCAATCCGTCTGTTAAAGCTTTTGCTAATTTCCAAGAGTTCTTTGTTGATAGTTATTCTTATTTCATGAGTACATTGTCTTCTCTGAGGCTAATAAAGCTTTTGACGCTTCTTTGGTTCCTGAAGAGTTTCTCTTTTCAAGTTTTTTTGTTTTGATTGTTTCTCCTCTATTCAGAGCACTTCTTCTGATGTTCGGTATTAGCTGTATCTTCTTGTTCAAAAGTCTGTCACTAAAAAACTGATTAGTTTCTCTGAATAGCTTGGTGGGTTTGCTGACCTCTGGACCTCACCACAGCGTGATTGGGCGGGGCCCACCTACTTTGTTAGAGGTTACTGAATGCCTGTTATTTCTAGGTCTTTTCTCTTGAGCTTGACAGTTTCTCTAGAGAGGAACCTTCTGGTCTCCTGGCTACCAGTATGTAGTACAGGAGGGAGAAGTGAATCTCCTTCACCCTTCACTTGTAGCGTTTGCTTTTGCTCTCAGCTCTGCTTGAGGTCTCTAAGTGTAGGGGACATTCAGAATCTAGAGTCTTATGACAGGTGGGAGGAGAGACTGCCTGGTCAGCTTGCAACTCCTATTGTCTTGACTGTTGTGAGTTTGTGTCCTTTATCACATTAATGTCTACTTGAGAGGGGCAGCAAAACAATGCTATTTACTCTGCTAGTTTAACAGCCATCTTCCCTCTCTGTTCATCTGCCCATTCTAGTACTCCTTCCAGATTCTCCCTGGTGCCTGCCTTGAGTGGCCTCATTGACACCTACATGCAGACACACCTGGGGCTTGTGGTTGTGGCTTTCTGAGCATCTGCCTGGTTTGGACTTTGATGTTCTGGCTCAGTGAGGGGGGAAGGCTGTGCTTCCTCGTGGATGATAGAATTATGGCTACAACTTTTAATTATTGGTACCTCTGGCCTCTGAATGCTCAAAATGCTTTTGTCTGTATTGATTTCTTGCTGTAAAATGTGTCTCTGGCATTGCTCTATTCCGTAACTTGGGACTCTTGCGGGAAGTCTTTGAGTCTGCATGAGGAGAGTAGGTGTCGCTAAGCACTTTGCAGGAGATACTGTGAGTAATTTGTTAGTTCATGAGACTTGGAGCCAGACACACTGTATTTGAGTCCCAGCTCCTCTCTTTTGCTGTGTGGCCCAGGGAAAGTTGTTTACATCTCTGGACCTCATTTTGCTCTTCTTTCACTTGAAGCTCTTACCACAGAGAATTCTTGTGTCTGGCATCTGGTAGGTGTTCATCAGATGCTAGGTTCTCTTTCTGAAGGAAGGTTATACTTCTGTTTTGTTTTTTGTGTGTGGGGAGCTTTCAGAAACAGAGAGCTTACCATTGCATGAGGACTTTTTCTTGTTGATGGAGGAGGCGGGAAGGACCCACCTAAGACCTGTGTGTTGGGAGAGAGGCTGCTCTGGGCCTTCCCGGCCATTTTTACAGCATGATGCACAGAAAGGGTCACACTCATGCTGTGCGCTGGACGGCCAGATGACTAGGCAGCTGGTGGTTGGTGTGACCAGAGGCCTTCAGTATGGGGTTTCCAACTGACCCAGGCTTCGCTCCCCCATAGGCAGGGGCTTTGCTTTCTCTGGCACACCCATCACCATTCCGTAGTTACTAGCTGAAAGCGCTGTGTTGCAAAGTGCTGTGTGGAGTGTCGAGAATCATGCCTGATTCTCCCGGGCATGGCCTTGGGGCAGCTTGGGACAGCCACACTCAGGGGCAGCCTCCTCGGGTTCCTGACCCGCAGCTCCCTGTGCATTAAATGGGAACATGAAACTACCTTTTACCCTTTTAGGGAACATTGACGGGAATGGGTGGGTTTTTTTTTTTTTTTTTTTAAACCCCCAATGTAATATCCAGCTTCGTGCTTAATGTGGGTGGGTCCTGTGTACCTGGGAGCTGTCCTCATTCTTATTCTTGTCACTCATACTACTGATCTTGGGAAGACATGGAAACTGCTCACCAGATCACTTGAGAGGAGTAGAGGAGTGACATGGCCAGATGCCAACAGCTTACAGTCAGTGAGATAGATAGGGTGGTGCTCCTTGGCAGAGAACTGGAAGTTAAAGAGAAGTTTTTGGAGTGTAGTGTGACAGTAGGTCAGTGGAAAAAGACTGAAAGGGACTCTTCTCCTTCCTGCCCTTTTCTTGGAGAATGCTTTTGTCATTAGGAAATAATTGCTTCTGAACTTCTGTTCGCGTATAGCATTGTTTGCTTCACCACTCCCATGGGGCTTCAAGGAATCCTTGAAGGGGTCCTCCTTATGTGGGGACTAAGCTTTGAGCAGGAGATCTTGAGGCAAAAATGAGTTAGGTTCAGAAACAAAGACAGAAGTAGAGGAGGAAGCCCGAAGGGACTACTCACCTGAAGTTGATCCTGGGAAAGGGTTGGCATGTGTGTTTTGGCAGGGGCTAGGGGATAGCCACTCATTTTTACAGGTCTCCTCCTGATATTCTTGCCTGACAGAGGAACATCTTGCAGGAGCTCTCTCCCCCTCTGGCATGATTTCAGGATATTTATGGAGTAACACTATGGTTTTCCTATCACTGCTTTGTTCCTTTCTAGACCCTATATCTATGGCCCTACATCTCAGGGAGAAAGGATGCATATTCTCCAGAATTTCAAGCACAATCCCAAAATCAACACCATCTTCATATCCAAGGTATGTGTGGCATGCAGGGTGTGGTGAGGCCCTCGGAAGCCCATGGCCTGGGGGACACTGGATGATTCTGGACAGTGAGTTGGTATTTTGTTGTAGGAATGCCACGCATCAGTTTTCATTCCCACATGTCTTATGTCTGGGGGCAAAGGGAAGCTGCCTATTGGGTGGTAGAATCAGCAGATACTGGTTTTTAATGTCTTATGGGTAATACATAAAGTCTGCTTTTGGAATTTAGGAATTTTAAGTTGTGAGTCTTTATATAGTGGAAAAAAATCCATTACCTACTCTGGCAAGGTGCTCTTTGTGGGCTTGAAGAATCCTTTGGTCACAGGCAGCCTTTGTTCTTCTCCTGGTTTGCTTAGTGGTGGGTGGTGTGAGCACAGTGTAAACTCCTGTAGGTCACTCAGTGATGATTTTTTAAAAATTTTATTTTATTTATATAAGAACTGGTGTACAGGCCAGATGTGCAGGCGGGTGAGAGGATTCACCAGAGACAGAGTGGGGAACAGAACAGGCAGAATGACCGAAATAGGGAGGGGAGCAGCGGGTGCCACAGGAGAGGTCTCCCGCACCATGTGGGTTGCTCTGTGGCTGGTGGGGATCCAACCAGTACTGCAGAAGCTGCGGGCAGCTTCACAGCACTGTGCTCAACCGCCTGTGCCACTAGGGAGGCCCACTCAGTGATGATTTTGATCTGCACTTAAAAGCGATGGCGCAGCAATTTAGAAGATTCATATTTGTATAAACCCAAAGTCCAAAAGATTTACCTATGAAGTTTCATAAAGCACTAAATTTGGTGTCTGTCACTGGGAACCTTGATGGTAGGAACTCACCAGCCAAATTGGCTTTTCTGAGGTAGAATCCAGTGCCAGGCAGTCTCTCCACCAGACCATGTGTCCCTCATGTGCCGCTGTTCTTAGTAGCCACCACTTAAGAGTATGGGTGATTTTGTACAGACCTCTATCTGTAACAAGAAATGAGAATCTCTCATAAAGAGACTGTTGATAGGATCACTGGCTATGGGTTGCTGACCTGGGGTCCTAGGGCTTCCTTAGGACAGCTCTCAGGAGAGGTCATTACAGGTTCTGCAGGCCTCCCTGCATCCAAAGTACCCAAAGAGAGGAGGGTAGTCATTGTTTTCCTGTATTTTTTATTTAAACTTGAGGCCGGCTGATTTTTTTTTTCTCTTTTTTTTTTTTTTTCCATATATGAAAACCTTCCCATACTCACAATGCTGTATTTCTGTAGGTGGGTGACACGTCGTTTGATCTGCCAGAAGCAAATGTCCTCATTCAGATATCATCTCATGGTGGCTCCCGGCGGCAGGAGGCGCAGAGGCTGGGGCGAGTGCTCCGAGCGAAAAAAGGTAATGGTGGTCATCTCCCTTCGGCCTGGGAGGTCTCCTTTCAGACAGGCTGCTTGTGTTCTTATGGCGAGCTTGTGTTCCTGGGTGAGGTGGACTGCAAGGAGCAAGCTCTTCCTGCCCCTGGTTACTTCTCATGCCCTCCAGGTGACTCTCTGAGTGGTTATTCTGGCAGCTGTTTGGAATTCACACAGATGTCCTTTAACCTGAACAGTTGTGTCGGTCGACAGGAGGAGCCAGGAATCAGTGCTTAATGTTCTAGAAATAGAAGGGAGGACAAAACTGTCTCCTGGCCTTGACTCAGGAGTAAGGGAAGGTCTTGGTAGGCATAGCGTAGGGAGGCAGCAGACTGATACCTCACTTGGAACCTTGCAGAATGCTGCCCTGGATGGTAGCCTGCAGCAGTATGAGCTCAGTGATTGAGAACACAATAGGGAAGGCATCTGCTTGTCACCTGTGGTAAAAGGGCCTGAGCCCCTATCATGGGGCTGTGGTAGGAACTGGCATTGCTGCTGAGATGGCCATGGCTCTTTTGGAGCACTCAGGTCCTATAACAGGGACACAGGCCCTGTCCTCAAGGAATTCACTTACCTTAGCACGTGGATTGCTAGGGTGTTTGAAGAGGACAAGGTTAGTGGATATCTGTTGGACTTATGCTATATTCAAATATGCTTAAGAGGCAACTGATTGGTTGTTAGCATCAGGCATTATGATAGAAATAGCATGGACTTGGGCACCAGATCAGCCATGCCACCTTGGGCAGTTGAATCTCCCTGCTGAACATTTGCTTTGCCATCCAGAGTAGGAACAGCAGTACTATCTTGCAGGAAAAAGACTTACACAACAGACTATAGTAGGCTGTTGGGGAAATTGTAGCTTTTCTAAACTGACAAGAATATAATTTGATAAGCATATGTGATGATATTCATTACTTATTTTTTACTCTTCATCATAAGAAAAAGAAAACCTAATTTGAAAGCTTCTTGGGATTTAATTAAAGCTTTATCTTTATTATAAGCTATTTTATTGTTTTCTTTGCATCTCTGAGCTCCTATAAGACTAAGAAACAGTTGGATCCAGAGGCAGTACACAGATACTTAACCTACTAACATTTGGACTGTGAAACAGAACTATTCAGATTTTCCAGAAGGATTAGGTTTTACAGGTATATTTCCTGTCCTAGTTTCTGTGATAATGCTCTTCTAGAATTCTCTTATTCTAGAATTTCTTGGGGATTTTTTTTTTCTTTAAGCCCCTTTATTGAGATATAATTCACATACCATACAACTGATCCATTTATTTATTTTTTAGTATTTTATTTATTTATTATTTGTTTGTTAGTTTATACATGCACTGGGTACAGTCAGAAGCGCGGGAGGGTGAGAGAATTCACCAGAGCCAGAGCGGGTAGCAGAGCAGGCAGAAGGACTGAAGTACACTGCTGAGGGGAGCACTGGGCGGCAGGAGAGGTCTGTGCGCCATGCGGGACCCTCCTCCGGTGGCCGGGGAGCAGCCGGGGATCGAACCGGCGCCGCAGAGGCCACAGGCAGCTTCGCAACCCAGCGCTCAACCGCTGTGCCACCGGGGAGGCCCACAACTGATCCATTTAAAGTATATAATTCAGTAGTTTTTAGTATATTCACAAATTTGTATAATCATAAGTAAATCTGTGTTTAGAATATTGTCATTACCCCAGTAAAGAAATCCTTACCCATTAACAGTAACTCTCATTTTTCTGTTGCCTCCTAATCTGCAACTCCAGGTAGACACAAATCTGCTTTTGTTGTTATAAACATGACTGTTCTAGACATTTCATATGTATCGAATTATATAATTTGGGTATTTTATGAGTGGTTTTTTTCTCTTAGTGTACATGTTTTCAAAAGGATTATACAAAAGGATTGTTGTTCTTTTTTAATGCTGAATAATAATTCTACTGCATGGACATAACACTTTATCCATTCATCTGTTGATGGACATTGAATTGTTTCCATTTTTAGGGCTCTTGGGATAATGCTATTACAAAAATTTTGTATGGATATATGCTTTCAGTTCTCTTCGGTATGTGTCTAGGAGTAGAATTGTTAGCTCACATGGTAACTTTACATTTTCCATTTAGAGAATCTGGCAGACTGTTTTTAAAGCTGCTGCACCATTTCACATGCTCACCAGGAATGTATTATGAGGCTTCCAATTTTTCCATATTCTTGACACTTATAGTAATCTGTCTTTACTCTAGCCATCCTAGTGGGTGCCAAGTGGTGTCTTCTTGTGGTTTTGGTTTATATTTCCCTGGTTATTGATGTTGAACTCTTTGTCCTTATTGTTGATTTTTATATTTTCTTTGGAGAAACATCTGCTCAGATCCTTTGGTCTTTTTATGTTTGTGCTATTAGTCTTCACTAGTTGAAATATACAGGTTTATTAAGCTGCAGGGCTAGGATTTAAACCCAAATTTCCTGGATGTCAGAGCTAGTGACCATTTTGTTCCATTTTCCCTGGGACTGTAATAATATTTTTACGAATACATATCCCTTATCAGAAGTATGCTTTGTATGTTTTTCTCCAGTCTCTGGTCTTCTCATTTTTTTTTTTTAAAGATTTATTTTTATTTATACAAGCACTGGGTACAGTCAGAAGCGCGGGAGGGTGAGAGAATTCGCCAGAGCGGGGAGCAGAGCAGGCAGAAGGACTGAAGTACACTGCTGAGGGGAGCAGCGGGCAGCAGGAGAGGTCTGTGCACCATGTGGGACCCTCCTCTGGTGGCCGGGGAGCGGCCTGGGATCCAACCGGCGTTGCAGAGGCTGCGGGCAGCTTCGCGACCCAGCGCTCAACCACTGCGCCACTGGGGAGGCCCTCTTTTCATTTTCTTGATGGTGTCCTTTGAAGCACTGAAGTACTTAATTTTGATGATGTCTTCATGCAGGATTAGGATGATCACTCCCTGACACAAAACTCTCTAACTGCAAGATGTGTCTTTTGCCTTTACTTTCTACCTTAACAACAGCTGATACCCTGTTTCCTGCCTCTTCTCCAGGGATGGTTGCAGAGGAATACAATGCCTTCTTTTACTCACTGGTGTCCCAGGATACGCAGGAGATGGCTTACTCAACTAAGCGTCAGAGATTCTTGGTAGATCAGGGGTATAGCTTTAAGGTATGTATCCATTTTGGTCTCTTGTCAGAGAGGAGCCAAGGCTTATTTTGTACCCAGGCCTCCAGAAGTGGGGGCCACCGGCATGGGACAGAGCTCAGGCAGGCACTGGAGACTTTGCAAAAACTGATGTGTGGTGGTGCCGGTAGCAGGGAGGTTTGAAGGACAGTATCATGCAGGACCCCTGCCTGCCCCCAGCTTCTCAGAGTGAATAGTCAGAGAATGGGACCTTAGAAGCACAAGGCGTGGAAATTTCTGCTTATTGACTTTTTACTGTTGTGAGAAGATGATTGGTTAGATGTTGGTGGAAAGCGTGTCTGCCTTAAGCAAAATAATTTAGGAGAAATAGAAACACCACATGATTTTAGTCATATGTGAAAGAAACAAAGCAAATGAACAAGCCAAGCTGAATCAAAACAAACCCTTGGATTCTGATTGTAGAATTGATTCTTAGATTCCGACCTCATAACCGAGGTTTCTAGAGGGGACCTGGGAGGTGAAAGCAAAGGGGGGAGGGAGTTAAGTGGCCTGCAGTGGAGGGTTTTTGGTACTTTGGTGGTGGGTGAGGTTTGATTACACACATGAGGAGGTATGAACTTGTACTGGTAAAACATACACGTAAGCCTATGTTACCTCAATTTAAATTTAAATAAAGATGCTTGCCTCAGAGGACTTGAAATGCTAAGGAGCTGTGGCTGTCACTGTACTTTTTAGGGGTGGCCATTCCAGGCGCCTAAAGAGTCAGCCGGTGTTAGTGGGCCTCTAATGACACCAGATCCTCCATATCCAAGTCAGGTGTTTGTATATTTTGGGAGATTCTAAAGTTTTCGACCGACTTTCATTTTCTTTCGCATATGATTTATTTCCTGTTGACTCATATAGTAAGTTTGTGTCAGGATTTAGTGTCCCAAAGGGTTTTTGATTGTGAAACTGGGTGGAGGGTGCCAGAAGCAGGAAACTGCTTTTAGCCGGAAACAGTAACACTTTTCATACTTTTTGTGGTAGGACGGATTTTTGAAAGATTTGCATTGTGACCTTTTTATCTCTTTATCAAAGGCACGTGCTGACAGCAGCATCAGAGCTCAGGCAGGCACTGGAGCTCAGATGCTGACCCCCGACTCCTGGGACAGTCAGTGCAAGAGAAGCACTGAGTTAGGAATAGCTCTGGATTCTCCAAAATGTGTACTCGACAAAAACGGCACCCAGGCGTGTTCTCCCCTTTTCCTTCCACGCCTCCAGTGCTGATTGCTGAAAGTGGCAGGATTGGAGTTCCCAGAATCATCATCCTGGCATTCCAGGGGGTGATCAAGCCAAGACAGAGGTGTCCTATATTTGTCCTTCTGAATGTGGCCACCTGGAGAACTCTGCCCAATTCCTTACTGCTAGGAGCTATCTTTAATTAAAATTATGAGGGGAGTCTGGCAAGAGGGTGGCAGAGTGAAGGTGTTGGGCTTGCCTTCTTCAAATGAGGACAGCAAAACTGATGTAAAACGAACCCAGAAGACCTCTGAGAGAAAAACTGACTAGCATCATACTCAATAAGAGCATCGGCCCAACGGAAAGGGGCAGGAAAAACCTCACGTGAGCCCTGTTTAGAGTGATAACAGGGCGGGACAGTCCCCAAGAGACGGAAGTAGCTCCTGTGCAGCACCCTACAGTAGTTGATTCAGATCTTGCCAACATCAGGGCTCCCAAGGTCTGGTACTGCATTGAACAAGGGGGTGTGTGAGTGGTAGTCACGATGGATGGTGCATTGCAGGAGAGCGGGGGATGAGGGAACAGAGTGAGGACTCCTGACTTGAGTCTAAGGCTCATACAGAGCACTGTAGCCTGACTCAGGTCAGAGCACCTGCATTCCCTATGAAGAGGCTAATGAAGCCCGTTCTGGAGTATCTAGATCACCTGCGGCCCCCACAAAGGAATGCATCACCCTTGGAGGTGATCCTTTGATGCCTGTCACCCCACTGCCCTTCTCTACCTACTGCCCCTCACTGGTGCCAGTCCCCTGACTACCCCAGCAGTTGGAAAACAGCAGCGGGAAGTTTGTTCCTACTGAAACCCATACAAAATAAAAAATGAGGAGGCAGAAGAACACAGTACAAATGCCAGAAGGAAAGATCCCTGACAAGAGCCTTGATTCAGTGGAGTTGCAGAGCATGACAGAAAGGGAATTCAAGGTAACAGTCCTGGCAATGCCGATGGGACAAACAAACAAAAACCCAGAATACAAAACAACACCAGAATAAGGATAATGAAAATAGGAGGCAGCTCCATTCGGAAGTAATGGAATTAAGAAACATGATAGCTGATTTTAAAAATACAATGCAGGGCCTCACCAGCCAACAGAAGCAACAGAAAGGATTGATGAGCTTGAAAACACAGTGTTGGAGGACACAAGAACTCGATAGAGTGAAAAAAGAGTGAGGAAATGAAAACAGGCTAAGCTTTCTGGGACAACTTAAAAAGAAATAGTATCTGTGTGCCAGGGCTCCCGGAAGGGGAAGTGACAGAGAAAGGCATAGAAACCCTGTCCCGAGAAGATGCGGTGCACACACCACGCAGTAGTGCATTGCCATAAGAAAGGATGGAGGGGATTTGAGAGAGTTCTGTGCAGCATAGTAAATCAGAAGGGTGAAAACAAAGTATTAGACTTTCACCAAACAGAGTTCAACTGTGAAATACTGAAAGAATGATAGACATCAGTAAACCTTCTGCAGTTGAGAGGGAGGGAAAGGGACAGGAGGACGCAAGGGACGGGGGGTGGTGGTGGTGGTAAAATCTTGAGGAAAAACCAGAGGGAAAAGAAGTCCACCTTAAGCATTCCGTTCCAGTTTTCTGAGGGACAGGTAGGCTTTCTTCTAAGTTGTCTCCAGAGAAGTCTCGGTTGTGTTGTGTCTTGCTCTTGTGACTCCATTCTTGACAGCTTGTCCTGTGCGAGTGCTCCCTGCTGCTTGAAGCTCTGGGCACCAAACTCGGGAGGTTGAAAGTCCTCAGAGAGTGGAAACTGCCCCTGAGTATTTGCTCCCTCCATTACCTAGTACAACATGGGGAACTACCAGGATGGGTGTTTTAAAATTGCTAATATTTTTCTTTGTCTTCTGTAAGTGATTATTTGGCTGCTCTGTGTTGGAAGCCAATTTCTCTCGATTTGCTTTGCACTTACAGCTTAAGCTTCCTGTTAACGGAAATTGGTGGAGCTGGGCTCTGGAATGCCCAGTCAGAGCTCTCCCTTGCTAGCCACCTGCTCAGCTTTGCCTGTAGGAAGGAAGTGATCCTAGCGTGCCAACCCAGGAGAAAGCTGAGCCAAAAGAGTGCAAACAAAAGTGGACTCAGCCTGCTGGTTTTGACTTTGTAGGTGATCACAAAGCTTGCTGGCATGGAGGAGGAAGAATTGGCATTCTCAACAAAAGAAGAGCAACAGCAGCTTTTACAAAAAGTCTTGGCAGCCACAGACCTGGATGCTGAGGAAGAGGTGGTGGCAGGAGAATTTAGTTCCAGATCCAGCCAGGTGAGTGAGTGGGTGAGGCTCCTGTGTCTTACTCCTAAGGGACAGAATTCTTAGACATACACACACAGGCACATTACCTTGTATGTGCTTGTGCAGTCTTTTGAAGAGCGAATAATGGAAGCAAATATGACCCCAGGCTTTCATAAGGGTGGGTTTGGGTTGGAATATGATGGGACTGGGGCCTTCGGCAAGTTGGTTCATTGAACTCTGATTTTGTCCTCAGTAATAGAACTGAATTTTTCAACTTGTAATGGAGATCTGAGGCTCAACTCATATTGCAGATTCAATACTTTTGGGGGAAAATTTAGAGTTCTCACTAAGTATTCTGTAGATACTTAGTGAATGCCTACTGTGTGCTGGTGTTAGGTCACAACCTTGGGAGAATTCCAGGCATGTTGTGAAACCAGCCCCTGTACAAGGAGGGTAGGGAGAGACTGATGAAAGGGGCCAGCCTCTCCAGAGTGTTAGTGGTAGTTTTCATAACCAAGGAAACTGACTTAAGTGATTTGTTTTGGATGGCTGCAAAACACATTTTCCACCCCCACCTCCCAAATCTTCAAGACTTACATAGAGACTTTAACTGGGTTTAGTCAAGTGCACCACCTGGATGGTCTCATCATCACTACCTCGAGGCTGTGTCCTGGGAGGAGTTTCTTGGAGTGGGGAAGGCAGAGGAATGCCCATTGTAAAGACAGTGGAGACGAAGGAGACTCCACTTGCCTGCTTCCAGCTCCTGGTCAAAGACAGTCCATTCTCTCAGTTGCCTTTTCCAACGTACAGGCAAATACAACATGTAACATGTAATAATTAAAAATCATAGGCAGTTATCTCAGGTCCATTCAGAGAGACAAGCACAGTTTAGGCAAGTCCTTTTGAAACTAAATTGATGTTAGAGCCAAGAAGGGGGCAATGACTGTAACGGGGAGAGAAGGAAGGAGTATCACCAGGACAGGTCCTCGCTCTCCAGCTGGAGGCTTTTCTTCCCCCGAGTGGGTGGGCAGCTCGATCGCCCTCTGGACAATCTTCAAAGAAATCCCAGGGAACCTTTCTGTCTCTGACTGACTTCTGGTCAATCCCTCTGCTGGGGCCAAGCTATTAAAGTCCTTTCCCAGTGCCTGCTCCATCCTTCCTTGTGACCAGTGCGCTCTAATGCCTGGCTCCAAGTCAGAACCTGACGTGTGCGCTGTGGGCCACCTATGTTGGGGGATAACACTTTTACAGATGAGTTCATTCAGGTACAGGCAGACCGTATTTACCAAGGTCACCCAGTGAGAGGCAGGGTCAAGATCCACATCCAGGACTTTTTGCTCTCCATTTGATTCAAAGCCTTATGATGGAGTTGAGGGATATTTTGAGAGACTATTAAAAATGCTGTTCAGAAATTGTGGAGAGGCCGGGTAGTACTATTGCTAAAAACGGAATCTGAAGCCCTACTGCCTGGGTTCAAGGCCCAGCTCTTTAAGAGCTTTGTGCTCTTGTATTAGTTACTTAATCTTTCTGTGCCTCAGTTTCCTCCTCGTTAAGATGAGAATTATTGTGAGGATTAGAAGAGTTAATATGTGTATACTGCTTAACATGATACCTGGGACATAGTAAAAGGTCAGTAAATGTTCTTCAAATGTAGTTTATTAAACTTGTAAATGTTATAAAACTTACAAATATTATAAAAAGAGTTTCTTTCCTCTTGGAAACTAACAGTGGGCTGGGTCCTCCCACAGGTGTCTCGGCGCTTTGGCACCATGAGCTCCATGTCGGGGGCTGATGACACAGTGTACATGGAGTACCACTCATCACGGAACAAGGCTTCCACTAAGCATGTGCACCCGCTTTTCAAGCGCTTCAGGAAATGACACCCATGAGGCCAGGCAGGTGAAGGCATGGTTGTGGGCACCAACTTGGGAAAGGGAATTTCACGTCCCACATCCAAGTTCTTCCTTTGAGCACCGCCCAGACAGGTCTAGATTCAGTATCTGGTGTCTGTAGTGAAGAAAGTACATCCAGAGTTTGAGTCTTGTCTTCATGGGTCATCTAGATTTAAAAAAGGTGAGGGGGGAAGGGACTATTTTTTTTTGTCTTTTCACACTTGTTGAAGAAGGGGTTATTTCTGTATATAAAAATTTGTAGTATTTGTATATAAATGTTCTCCTGAATAAATAGAAATGAACACTGAACCGCTCTGCATTTTAGATCTTAGGTCTTGTCATAGGCATGAGTTAGGTGTAGATGACAAACCTTCATCAAGGCCCCACTTTGTAGCAGGCACAAAAGTGTAAGATGGGGCCACACACTCAGGTTAGAGGAAATGTGCCCAGTGGTAATCCAGTGTTGTGGTAATGGCTGGGAGCTTAGGGAGGGAGGCCCAGCTCTGGGGAAGAGCCTGTGCAGTTTGTAGAGCTGCGTAGTCACTGTTTAGTGCAGGTGGATTCCATTGCAGCACCCACAGCATGGACGTCTTCTAGGTCACCTATAGGCTGTCACCTGCGTAGGAAGCCATGGTACATGCAGCTGCTTGATAGTTCATCTGCTCTAAGAGAAAATGGTCCCTTATTTATCTTTGAAAGTACATTTTAGATATTGCTAATAGACGAGATTCCCCTTCTACAAGCAGCATAGAGGTCTTGGGTCATTTGTAACTAGTTCTTTTATTCTAAAAATGCCCTTGGGCTTCTTTTTTTCTCTTGCTGGTATGAAAGGAAGAGTGTTAAGCAGGTAGGATTTCTCCATATAAGAAAGGCATACACAGGCAGAGGTCATGAATAAGACCTTGCTCTCTGGGTAGGTGGCTTTATTTTAAAAGGCAGCAGTGTTCACACTTGGGGAGTGTTAAAAGCCTGTGCTAACTCAAGTCTCTAAATTTGGACTCCCACCTACCCCCCCAACCCCAGCAGCTCAGCATCAGCATTCCATATTATAACATCATTGCACCTATGTGGCTGATCCATGCGACAACCACAAACCAGTCCTGGGGAGAAGACTGTCCCCTTTGTTAGGGGTGCTTGGAAGCAAGAACCACCTTCCCTAACCTTCTGAACAGTGATTGGTACAGATAGGCAGCTCACTGCATTGTCCCTATAAACCCTGCAGATGTACCTGAGCACACAAACCCAAGGCCTGTGCTTAGACACACATGTCCTAAAGTCTGCAGACCTGCCTAACACTTACCCTAATGGGCTAGCACCCAGATATCTCAAAATTGGTTATGACCATTATTTCCATATTCATATCTCATGTACTTTATGCTTAAGATTCTCAAACAGTACCAAAGGTTATTTGTGTTTTCACATTTCTGTCTCTGGTGCTCACTGTTTTCTTGTTCCCTAACCTGTTGAACAGTGTTGAATGTTACCCAACCCCGGTGATCCTGGAAAACTTGGACTATTTAAGAAATTCCCTATTTGCTGTGTTCAGGAAAACAGCTTACTGCAGTGATCCCCCTTATACACACGGCTGAGCTAAGACTCACAGCCCTTTGTTTACCTCTGATAAGGCCAGACACAAACATTCCAAATTCACATTTTTCCCTGAAAGGATTAGCAGGATTGCTTTTCCTCACTGATAAGTTAGAACAAAGTAATTGTTAACCAAATCCTGAACTTTGATCTACTCTCTTATTTCTTAACTCCTCTTGAGAACAGGCTGGACTCAGGGTAGAAATATTTTCTAATAGCCACACTGACCATGTCACTTCCTTTTGTCCCATGTCTTGATACCCTCTTTCCACTTGCTTCTTCCTCCCTATAAAAGGAAAACTTGCCTAACCCTTTAGACATCATTGGTAAAAGATTTAGGGCACCATTGTCCCACAGACCTACTGGGTAAGAGCCCTGAACCAGTGTGGAGGGCAGAGCAAGCCCCAATTGAAGCTGCACCCACAGCGGTGTGGCCCTGAAAACAAAGAATGGGGAGACAGAAAAACCCCAAATGGCCACATGATTCCTCAGGGGGACACTACACTACAGAAAGGGAAGAAATCTCCAAAACCCAATCACAAAGGCATGGAAGACTTGTCATCCCTTTAGATACATAGTTCAAAATTACCATAATAAAGAAATTCAAATAAATGGAAGAAAACAGTGTATGAAAGATAGAAAATTCTGAAAAGTGAATGTCCTGAGAAATAAAATGAACAGAAGAGCAAAGTTGAAGCCTTAAATAAGAAACAGGACATAAAATCAATAGAGAAGATGAAAGTTCAGAGAAAATCTATGGAAATAGAATAGACCAAATGGAAGAATAATCAGTGAACTTGAAGAAGCTAATGCACAATGACTCAAGATAGAAGAAGAAAAAGAGAGATGCAGTCAAAAAAAAAAAAAAAATGACAGAATTATCCAACTCCATGAGAAAAGGTTAAAAAAAAACAAAACCACAGAAACCAAACTGCCAGCCAAAACCTGTAAGGCTCTCCTTAGATATGTGGGAGAAATAAATTGCTGTTCTCAAACGGAAACTGAAGGTGTTTGCAAAATCTAGAATCCTCCCTCTACCCCAAGAAATATTGAAAAGAGTCTCATCTCTAAACTGAAGAGAAGCACATGCATAAATAAATATAACCATAAAATTAAGGTCAAAATGGCAACAATAGACTTTCACATACCAATAATCATTCTAAATGTAAGTGGACTGAACTCAGCAATTAAAAGATACTGTATATCTGGTTGGATTAGGAAACAGAATCCAACTTCTTCTGTCCCCAGGAGACACCTGAGCTCCAAAGATAAAGATACACTAAAAGTTAAGGTTGGAAAGCAAACCTATAAGGGAATAGGACCCAAAGGAAGGCAGGCCCAGACACCTATATCAGACAAAATAGACTTCCAGCTAATAAAGGTTAACGAGACAGGAATAAACACTATGTAATGATTAAGGAAAAAATACACCATCAATATGTACTCATCAAACAAAGCATACCAAAATATATTAGGCAACTACTATCAAAAAAATTGACAGAAACACATCTGTGGTAGGGGACCAAAGTACCTCACTCTCACCAATGAACAGATCAATGACACAAGATGAATAGGAACACAACAGTCTAAAACATAAGTAGACCACATAGGTCTAATATAAATCTGTAGGGCACTGCACCCCCCCCCCTCAGATGCAGAATACACTTTTTAAAGTGCATATGGAACATTCTCCAGGATTGACCACACATGGGGGGTCACAAGACAAGTATCAAAAAATTAATGAAGAGCAGATACGTCATCAACAAGGCGGCGAGGAAACGCTGCCAGTAAGACCTCCCATAAAAAAAAAAGCTAATAGGGAGGAAAAGCAGCAGGTCCCTGAGAGAACTGGGACAGGGAAAATAAACAGGCAACTCGGGCAAACTGCCGGAAAAAGAAAGTTGCTGTGAAAGAGGACTAGAAGGGAGGAAAGCTCAGGACCCTGCTACCCTCCCCTACCCACAAAGTCGGCACTCTCCGACCAACAGAAAGGAGGAGGAAAAAAAAAACTAAAACAACCAACAAGAACAAACAACACATCAAGCGGGACTGTGAGTGGAAAGGAAATATTTCCGCCACCGCACCCTGTGAACTGGAACTGTGGAGAACCCTGCAGGATTCGCCGTGGAGGTGAGCGAATGGCTCCGGGCACCATTGGAGAAAAATAAAGACTCCCAGGAGAGCTACAAATAACCCAAGGCCAGCTGGTAAGCTTGTGCGGGAAAAGCAGCTCACTTGAAAAGCAAACGCGGATTGGGGCTTCCCAGGTCCCCTCACCTGCGACCTAGGCTTGCGAGGAGACATGCGGGGGCCCTCATTGAGGTGAATGTCCCTCACTGAGTAATCAGAAACCAGGCGCCCGGACATGGGAGCGGGGTGCAAAAGACGCCATTTCTGTGGACACTGAACTGGGGCGTCCTGGACCTGAGGGCTCTGGGAACTGGGAAGTGGGACATGAAATTTAGGGTGTGGGATCCCCACGACGGTGGGGCACAAAGCAGAGACACAGCGGGCCTCCCCCGTGGCACAGCCGTTGAGCACTGGGTTGCGAAGCTGCCCGCGGCCTCTGCGGCGCCGGTTCGATCCCTGGCTGCTCCCCGGCCACCAGAGGAGGGTCCCACATGGCGCGCAGACCTCTCCTGCCGCCCGCTGCTCCCCTCAGCAGTGTACTTCGCTCCTTCTGCCTGCTCTGCTCCCCGCTCTGGCTCTGGTGAATTCTCTCACCCTCCCGCGCTTCTGACTGTACCCAGTGCATGTATAAACAAAACAAACAAACAAACAAACAAAGAAATAAATAAAACATGCCTCTATTAAAAAAAAAAAAAAGTTTAAAAAAAAAAAAAAAAAAAGCAGAGACACAGCATCCCCACGCCATTGAGGCTCTCCATGCCACTCCCACTCTGTTGCCCCGACACACGAGCTTAATACAGTTCCTGAAGGACACTAGGAAAGATCTCTGGCGCCACCTAGCAACCAGAAAAAAAATCACCAACACCCTATAGTTGGAAACCAGGGATCACAAAAACACTCTCAGGGTCTGAGAGAGGGTGGGCCACGCAAAGGGGGGTAAGGAGGGAAATAAGGCATGGAGCAAGACACCATCCTGGAAGAGAGCTAGACACAGGAGCTGGGGTGTGGGAACCGCCCTAGCAGCGGGCACTGCACAGTGTAACAGCCAGCGTTTTGGATCTTGATAGCCCTGGAACTGAGACCTAGAGTACAGATTTCAGGGCGTGGGATCCACACAGCTGCAGGCACAACACCTGGTGAACACAGGGCAGACACAGCACTTGGCTGGAATAAGAGCCCCTGTGTTGAGGTGCTCCCCTCTGCCCCACCTCCGCTACTCAGACAACCACTGGGAAAAAGCACAGGTCAGCAAGTACGGGTCTCTGGTGCCACCTCGTGACCAGAACTAAACCACCAACTAGCTGATTCCCTGTTGGAACTGAGTATATACAGAGGGAGGGAACTGTAAGGGACAGAGCCCAGTAACACAGCATCAACACCCTGGTGGAGTATTGGCCTACCAGTGCTGGTCTCAGTCTGGTAAACAGTTTCGAACACCCCTAAAGGACACTCCAAAGAGATGCCCGCCAACACCAGTGGCACAACGTCCCAACACATAGAACTAATTAGAAAGCAAACAACAGGGAAAGAAAAAATATATATAACCAAGCAAGCTAGCAGGAGGACACACCACAAAAAGAAACACAGTCACCAGAGCTCAACGATGACATGGAAGAA